ATATCGAAAATAATATTAATTGTCGACTTTTTGTTGCGGCCCAAGAACTTTCCAAAGATGACAAATTTTTTATTGATATCAAAAAACTTACGAGGAGCTTTTGAATTTGTTGACTATAGTATTAACCTCTCAACTGCGGATGTCCAAGACTTGGACACGAAAATATCTCCGTTGACTGCGGGCGTCCAAGTGTTAGTTACATTTTTTACCCGCTCTTTTAATGAAGAAATAAAGCATTATGCGCTATTTCTAACTAATACTACCATATGTCAATGTGTACAGGATAAAAAAGGCTAGCTTAAAAACCCCACAGCGTATACACTTTAGTAGTATATTTGATTTAAATCATTCGTAAATGTCGTCCGTTCCTTGAGTCAGCCATTAGTGTGATTGACGCGCGCTAACTACGAAGTTGTTTGTAATTATTTTGTATTAATTTATATTTATTGTGTGGTGAATTGTGTTAAAACAATGCCTGGGTAAGTAACCTTCTTATTTGTAATCTCATTTTGTGTTTTATCTTATAAAGTACGTGTAAAATCGTTTTTTAATCCATGTATTATTATTTTTTAATTTTAATGTCTGAAGAAGCACTTAGCGCATTTTACGGAATCATTGACGAAATTTATCAAACAACACACGCCATTTGTTGGCTCCAGAACCTCTGCTTTTCCTATCTGGTTTTCGAAATCTCTAATTAGCACATTTAGAAAAAAACGTAAAGCTTGGGGGAAATGGAAGAAATATAACAACATATCAGACTATGAGATATTTTCCCAGTATAGAAAGTTATTTAAGGATATGTGCAATAAATGTTTTTCTAAATATATTGGATCGGTCGAGGATAGCATACGCAAAAATATTAAGGATTTCTGGGTATACATCTCTAATCGTCGTGACAAATCTGGAATACCAGCTAAGGTTGAATATAATGATGATGTTTCAAGTGATCCACAAACAATATGCAACATGTTTTCTGAATTCTTCTCTTCCGTTTACGAACAGCCCTCACCTACTCTATCGCAGTGGAGACCACCTGCCGATTCAGCATCCCATGGCACTACTATTACTAATCATCATTTTGAAGTAGAAAAGGTATTAATAGAGCTGAAATCCTTGGATCCATCTAAGGGGCCAGGCCCTGATGGCTTATCTGCTTATTTTCTAAGAAACACTGCCACAGTTATATGTAAACCCCTAACTATCATCTATAATAAATGCATTACTGAAGGTGTTATGCCCACAGTATGGAAACAGGCTAACATCACACCTGTGCATAAGAGCGGATCTAAACGTAGTGTAGATCAATATCGCCCGATATCAACTTTGTCCACTTTGTCGAAGCTTTTCGAGAGACTAGTGCATAACGAAATATATCCCATACTGCACAATATAATTATACAGCAACAGCATGGTTTCGTTAAACGTCGATCAACAACCACCAATCTATTATTATTTTCCAGCTATTTATTTGAAAATGTTGATGATCGCGTACAGGTCGATGCAGTATATATAGACTTTCGAAAGGCCTTCGATAAGGTGGACCACGAAATGTTACTAAATCGAATAGCTTACAATGGCATTCGGGGTAATTTGTTACGATGGTTTGTTTCTTGTATCACCAACCGTTGTCAAAGGGTTGTAATTAATGGATACCACTCTAAAGTTACGATGGTTACCTCCGGTGTACCCCAGGGATCTATTCTCGGGCCTTTGTTATTTATAATATTTATTAATGACATAAGTAACTGTTTTTTCAACTCAAAATTTTTATTATATGCAGATGATCTTAAAGTTTATAAATCTATTCATACTACACAAGACTGCATTCTTCTCCAAGAGGACCTAGATAGACTTACAGACTATTGTTACAAAAGTAAGCTTCAGTTAAGCATTCCGAAGTGTAAATATCTCCGTTTTACTAAAAACAAGAATATTATTACATTTTCCTACTCACTGTGTAACGTTCCTTTAGCTAAAGTGGATTCTATGCGAGATCTCGGTATACTGTTTGATTCAAAACTGTGCTTAGACTTACATATTGAACAAATTGTTAACAAAGCATACAAACTATGTGGATTTATTATGAGATCAACTCGCGACTTCAAACGGACCTCTTCATATCTTTGTTTATATAAAACCCTAGTTCGCTCTCAACTTGAATATGCTGTGCCCATTTGGAATCCTTATTATAATAAATATATACACAAAATTGAAAATGTTCAACGCCGGTTTCTACGTGCAATGCATTATAGATGTCATAAATCTTATTTACCGTATGACCAGTTACTCAGTAGATACAAACTTCTAACCCTCCACTCTAGACGTAAGCAATTGGAGTCTATGACATTGTTTCATATAGTAAGATGCAAATTTGACTGTATTGAGTTAAACAATCTGTTATGTTATGTAGTTCCCAGAACTGTCCATAGACGACGGGTGCGTGCGGGTAAACTCTTTGTCGTAAGTACCTGTCGATCCAATACCGGTATTCGTTCACCAATTCGACGTATGGTTGCCACATATAATGAGACCTTCGAGCATATAGACATTTTTACATGCTCAAAGGAAAAGTTTCGTGGTCTTTTATACAAGACACTTTTCACATAATAATTTTGTTATATTAGTCACATTATAATATCACTGTTGACCATACTTTGACATTTGTATAATACCTTCTGTACAGCTGCAGGTCTCCTAGCGTCTTAATTATCTATCCCAAGAGGTAATCTGTGAACAGCACTGTGGGCTGCATTATTGCGTATACTATGTTACTGTACTATCTATATTATGTAATTATATATAATGTAGTTGTTAGCTGTTCCACTTTGAATAAAATAAAAATAAAATGTAAGCTTATCTAAAGATTTGACAAATCAATACTCCAAAATAATAGGTAGCATTGTGGATAACCAAAATAAATTGGAAATATTAATAGGTGAAATAAACCAATCCGAGGCTACTAGAGACTACGACTTAATTAAATATGCCCATTTTAGACAAGTACTAATGATCCTTAGTGATAACGTTGATTCCATCTCACAGGAATTAAACAAGTTACAAAATAACTTAGTATTTATATGAGCTAACACTATGCACCACTCTATAGTCAATTTAGAATCTATCCGAATGATGATTAGCCGGGCAACCGAACTTTATAGAGGTAAAAAGGTAGGAGATTTAGATATTAGGGAATATTATGACATTATTAGATTAGGTTCATATTCCTATTCCTACATAGGAAATGAAATAGTAATAGTATTTAAGTTCCCGATTCTATTACCCCATATATATATATATATATATATAAAAAAAAAAAAAAAAAAGAAAAAAAAACCCCAGATTTTCAATACATAAAGGCAGAATGCCCGAAGACCAGTAATGTACCATACATTACAGATGTAGGATAAGCGGAGTCTGAGAGGTCAAACATCTCCTGATTGCATCCATCATCCCATCACAAAACAAAAGACGAATGCAGTATGTAACCCGCTCACAGTTACCTTAGATAAACCAGCTAACGAAGAACTAGCCGATAAGCAGTACACCATCACATTCCCTACGCCAACGAAAGTACATCTATCGTGTGGCCAAGATCTCTACAAAATACTTCAAGGTAGTTATCTCGTTGTTGTCCCTCTGAAATGCTACATAAAAACGCCACTATTCTGGATCTCAATCGGACCGATCGAAGGGACAAGCCTTAAAAATACTGGACATACCTGAGGAAAACACCAGCATCCCATCTCCTATTTCGGCATATAAACTAAATTAAATAAACCTTCAACATCTTCATGCAACGAACACTAAATATCCTAGCAATCGCCAGTAAATCTAAGCAGCAACGATGACTACAGTCTACACCCCACTACAATACTATTGTACGCGTTAATAACAAGTGCAGGTGTACTGATTCTATGTATATCATATAGAAAGTACAAGTTGAAGCCAACTGAAAGTACGCAAAGGAATACAGAGGAAGACCACTGTGTTGTATTACCTGGTTCTGATATTTTACCGTGTGAATTCATTCTAGATTCAAACCTCTAATTAGAGTCACCTTACTTAGTTCTAATAATTAATTGGAATAATTATTGTAAATTAAATATATATTAAATAAAAATTACTTTTTTGCAACCTCTGGCTGGAGCCCACATAATTTGTGCATATGTATTGACGCGATTCAATTTTGCATTAACAAAAATCTTCTACTTTAATTATTTATGACAAATGAAACACATTTAAATCCAAATATTTTGCATTTTGATTCCATTATATATAATATTTATTTATCAAAATTACGAGATATTACTACTAAATGTATAAAATATATTTACCTTGTCAACACATTCATTTTTTCTTTATTTTTTTCTTTAAAAGAAACGTTACACCAATACAATAGGATTTTTGTCCTGTATCGTGGGGGCAGTTTACAAACTTAAATTGCACAAGGATAAACATCCATTTGCATTATTCCAACTATGATAGGGTTTCCACCGAAATCCTCACTGCATCTAAAGATCTCGAGGAACTGCTACATATTTATTATCTATGAACGACGCTATACACCGGAAAAGGAAGGCGGTTTAGTGAAGGACAAAAGCATCGATATAAAAGTATCAAGTACGAAAATATTAGGTATCGAACTAAAAGTATCTCTATTGCTCAGGTATCGATACTTTTTGCAGATCCCTAGCCCCCAACTGAAGCGTCAGATTCAGTCAGATTCACAAACTAATAAGAGTACTAACTAGCTTGCTACATATTTATTTATCTGTGGTACTAACGGTCAGATTTGTTAATGGAGCTGAGCGATTCACGTGTTTTTACTTTTTTAACATAAATTAGTTTCCAATTTAAGGTTATCTATTTCTCTATCAAAAAGAATCTTCTTGATACAAGCACCTAAGAACGATTATTTCTTTCGTTATCCCTCAGTGACGCGAGAAATCGCTGAGAGGTTGGAATTTTTATTTTTATAAGTTACAACTGATAATAATATGGTAAGTGAACGAAGATTATTGCTACTTGTATTTAACTACTATGTTTTATAATTATAAAGTATATACAGTTTCTCAGTGTAAAATCTGCAACAATGTGTGCGTGTTTACTTCAGGATTTCCTAAGCTACTACTAGACGCACGAACATGTGCAAGTAAGGTTATGTTATTGCTTAGATTTATATAGTTTAAGGCTTATTGTATATGTAAGACTTTAAATTTATATTAAATATGTGTTATATACATCAGACATCAACATCTGTCGTCACTTAAGAATCAAAATGCAAATGTATTGTCACCCCTGGGGGCTAAGATGGGAACGCTTTATTTCCAGTATGAGTTGCTTCAACTCCAATGGTTTAATTTGCTATAGATTTTCTGAAATATAGGCCTGCAAAATTCTCGAAAGGATCAGTTTCCTTAAATATTGTAAATATTTTTGAAACAGAAATTATATCAAAGATTATAAATGGAATGGATCAGTAGGCTGAAATAGCAATGGGCCGGTCATACAGCTGGAAGAATCGATAACCAATGGGGAACAAAGGTCCTTTAGTGGCAGCCTTATTCGGATAAATTTGTAGGGCAGCCTACCTCTAGGTAGAGTGACAACCGGGAAAGACATGCAAGAAGTCGATAGTGCAGCCACCAGCATGCCACCCTAGGATCATGCTTTGTTACATTTTGTTGAGAGGCCATGTTCAGCTGTGGACTTGAAAATGGCTGTAATAATAATATATAATAGAAATAAAAATAGAATATATAGTATTGACATGTTATTAAAATATATTTTTTTTAATGTTTTGTTTGAAATAAAAATTTATTTTATGTTAAAGGGACTTATTTACTGACTGGCTTAATTTTATTGTAGGTCATGCTCAAAGCATAAAGTCTGCCTTTTGTTCCTATACATTATGAAAGCTTCAGTAAAGAATAAATAAAAAATAAATCGGGTAACATTGCATTTTGTTTCAGGCTGAAACTGAAGTAGCTGTCAATCCAAAAGCCTACCCGTTAGCTGACGCTCCACTTACTGCAAAGATCCTAAATCTTGTGCAGCAGGCTGCTAACTACAAGCAGCTTCGCAAAGGTGCTAATGAAGCCACTAAAACTTTGAACCGTGGTTTATCAGAATTCATTATAATGGCGGCAGATGCCGAGCCTTTGGAAATTGTTTTACACATTCCAATACTATGTGAGGACAAGAATGTGCCATATGTGTTTGTAAGATCAAAACAGGCATTGGGTAGAGCATGTGGTGTCTCGAGACCGATTGTTGCATGCTCTATTACAATTAATGAGGGCTCACAATTGAAACCGCAAATTCAAAGTATTCAACAGGAGATAGAAAGACTCTTAGTGTGAGTGTGATGTGTGCATACTATTTTTCTTAAATATATAAGTATCATTACAAAGATTTTGTGTTTATATTCTACTGTCACCTTTATAATTTTTTCCTGCTCATTATTCATTACATCCTACCTAAAGCTCACTGCTAAACATAGGTCTCCTGATACATTGTCTCAAAAGGGGGATATTTGCCATTATTGCCACACTGCAAGCTTTTTTAACTATATGGTACTATAATTGTAAAAAAAAAATGTAACAGTTATAAAAAATATATTTATTTTATAAAAAAAAGTACAATATTAAAACTTAATTTTTCACATTTATTATTGAATTATTAATCTCAAAATTTGGAATATTATGATCCAAAAAATTTTTTTGCTCTTAAATTCCAGTTTCCTTCCCATCTTGACTCCTGGAATTTGGATAACTCTCTCCTCATTTTTTCTGCTATCTTATTCTTCTCATAATTGTTGGGGAAACCTTCAAACCACCCAACTATAAGTTTGGACAGCTCTTCACTTGTCTTAAACACATAACCATTAACACCATCTTGAACAAGTTCTTCAAGGCTGTAAAATGTAAAATTAATATCTATTAACGAAAGAGTTAGTTTACAAGGGACTAGTTTTTTGCAACCACATCTAACTGATTATTTTACATGATGAAAGAGTTAGACCAGTCTTAAACTTGTGTAAGAAATTGTAACCCTTTTTAATGGAAACAAGGCATTCCTTGTTTGACTTCAAGGGTGATAACCCATCTGTATTTTCATTCTTAATTGACGAATGATGTAGATGTCTATGGGCCATGTCATCCCCTTACCATCAGGTTAAATGTGTTGGTTTATGACGCTTATTCTATTAAAAAATAGTTCCTGGGTGATTTTGATTCTACAGATCAAATTTAGGTTTGTTTTTTCTTTTCTTCAATGCTGTATTGAACAATTGTGTGAGTCTGGTCTGGACAGTGCATTAAAACAAATTATAAAAATTAAGTGGCTCAGAACATTCATCGCAAGTGTCTCAGGATCAGGTTATGTGACATACATTGGAGTAAGCCTATGTTAATCTGTAGGCTTATTAATGATTGTAATGATGATTATGATGAATTGCTCAGTATGTATTATATAATGGTAAATAGACACAATCATGTTAGCTCAGTAAAACAGTTTAAGTTGAAAAAAAGCAACTCCCAAACTATTCATATAAACATGTTGAAGAAGTAAAATTATAATAATAAAGTAAATATAATGGAAAACCTTATTTCTTGACTATGATCCCACCTGATGGTAGTTAGTGATGGCAGTGATGTAGCCAGTTTTGTTAAAGACTATGTTCACACTACTGGTGTGTGGTCTCAATTCTCAACATAAGAATATTCCCTATGTCACATCATCTCGTGGCTGTCTTAAGAGGGAAACTGATAGAGGAGATGGAAAGCAACATCTTTCTGATAAAAAGTGAAAATAATATCAAAATTGTGGTTGATAACCTGCATGGCTATGGTAAAATACCATCTATGGAGAAGGCCTATGTTCAGCAGTGGACTTACATAGGCTGTAATTAATGCTTGAAATTACACATTCGAACACTACCATATTGTGTTTGGATAAAAAGTTTTAGGGACACCAATAAGACACATCCTACTTAGTCTGAAGCTTCTTGATACTTAGTAACGCCAGTCCATATGTAGCTGCAGTACTCTACTAGCAAGGGCACGAAACTTATTAGGATTACTGTTTGCAGCACCAGATAGATACATCATAGTGGTTATTTTCCCAGTGCGAACATCTGACCACTATCTGAGACTATCTTATAATATATGAACACATTTACTTTCAAACCATCAATGCATAACATTGTCAACAATTAATAATAGAATGAAGGTACAACTGTACATACTGATCATAATAAAATATGGAAAGATTGAATCAATTTGTATAGGGATCCTTCTTTTTTTGAACTTATTTTAATTTTAAACTCGAAACCATAGCCTGCGCTCAATCCAGTGCACCCCGTTTTTGGGAAAACCCCCAACCCCAAACCACCACCCCCCCCTCCCCCCCCCCGCCCCCAAAAAAAAAAAAAACCATGGTAGTTTAAATTGGAATTATCAGAATGCAAGTCTTCAGCTGTCCACTGCTTGTGACTAGAATGCTTTTCTTGATTAGTTTCTCCAATTTATCTAATAGACTATTTCAGATGTAATTTTTTTTTAATTAAAAATGATCTGATATGAAATAACCGGATGTGCCTGACAGCGCTGATAAAGCTTATGATCATATTCCTTCATTCGAATTGGTTCAGAAGTATTCTAAAATCAGTTTCGAGAAAACTGTCATTTTGGATTGAAAACCAAATCTAATTCGGGAGTAATCCCTCGTGAACATGTTAATGAATGTTGTAATTTTAAAGTTTCAAATCAAAGGTACTTACCATCTAAAGGAGAATGCACATACAGGTAAACCAGCCCCAAACATATCAACAACCTTCATAGGTAAATCTAAGCCAGAGGAACTGGTATGAAGGCAAACCCCCAAGTCTGCACTCGCCACCATTGTGGGATAGTCACATGCATCTAACCATGGAGTTAACACTTTAACATGTTGCCAATTTTTAGATGTTATGAGATCTATATAGTGCTTCTTCATGGGGCCTTTGCCAGTTATCACACAGATTAGTTTAGGCAACTTTTTGGTTAAATCATATGCAGTTTCATATACTGAAAAAAAAACACATAGTATACTGAGAAATACAAAGTATATAAAAGACCCATTTCAGTGAATGTATATTTACATAAAATTAATGTATATTCACAAAAGCAAAAGTAGTTTTAGTAAAAAAAGTGAAATACTCTTTGTAAAGACTAGAAAAAAAACAGAAGCTAGTGAAACCAGCTTACTAAGTTTAAATATTTAAACTGTATAAAAATGGTTATTATAATATAAATTACTTAATACATGGTTGACAGTAATAATCCCTAAGAATGAGGTGGTCGCTTCCAAATTGTTTCTAAAATAAATTTTGTAGACAATTTATATCACCTTTCTTATTAGTCCAGGAGGAATCGGCGCATGAGTTAACTATTCCACCCCAATTTTTTAATGCGATTTTCATCAAATTGTCCTACTAATGATATAAATGCATGTTGCCATGGGGCAGTTCCGTGCCATATTGTTTGAACCGATTTTTTTTAATTTGCAGGGAATAGTTATTTTCAAATGAAACAATTTTTTTTATATTCTTGGATGAACTACGAATAAATAAGGACTTAAGATGTTTTATGATAAAGTTAATATTTTCAGTTATAAATTTTTAAAGGTTTGAAAAATCCATTAAAATACTTTTGACCCATTAAAAATATATAAAGAAAAATAATAAAATATAAAAGACATTTTTTCATAATATTCTTTAATAAAAATATTATTATTATTTAACTTGGGACACAGCAGAGTAGTCAAAAACAGAGTAGATTAATTTTTATTCAATATAGATTTACTGCTATTATTATTATATTAATATTTACTACTGGTGTGGAAAATACCTCTGTTCTGGGAAGACCTCGCAAGAAAATCAGCGGAATTATTTTTTATACATAAATAATTTTACAATATTTTTGTGCAATTATTAAGCTATTGCATAGCTTCTATCGCGGGCCTTGAGCGCGGGGACCGAACCCAGAAATTCCGTAACGAAAAAAAACCTCACGCTCCCCACTCCGACGGGCACGGAGGTGTGGCGTTGAAAGCCGTGCATAGTCTAACGTCGTTTCAGTTCGGCAGACTTTGGCACGGTGTTTGTGTGCGTGCGACTATACGTATGTGTGTACACTAGCTGCTAACTCAATGATAAAAATTCCTGAATAACCTACATGTATTGTAAGATATTAAAAATATTTTAAACAATATTAACTTCTCATTTACTCAATAAGAGAAAAAAAATTGTTTTCTTATCGGTCACCACGCTCAAAAAGTGTAACTTGATTTAATATCAAAGACTTAACTGCATAAATAAAATAAATAAATAATTATAATTGCATAAGTTGATAAAAAATGCTATGCAATAGCTTTACCGCGGCAGTCACCAAGTGCCACACATATTTTTTATATTAATTTTAATAGAACCAGCAAAATAGCGATCACCTTATTCCCAGGGGTTATTATTTCTCAATATTATGACAATCGTTCAGACTAGGCTACACAATATATTAATATATACTTACAGCATACTGTTACATTTTTCCTTCATATATCTAAATTTATTCCATACAATTAACATAAACATATTAAGTTAAAATAATATTCTTTAATTTCAACTTCATATATTACAGCCTATCAAAGTCCACATACAAAGCCTCATATAAAAAGGCTTATTTACCATGTGCTAGGTGGAGAAGGAAACATCTTTAGAACATATATATGCCAAAAAAATAAAAAAACACTGGATTTGCACAACAGAGTAATTGCCTCACAATAGTGTAACTAATTAAAAAGTTTAGAGAAATTAAAGAAAAACCTTGCAATGCTTCCATCAGAACACTAAAATCTTCATCAGGGGTCCAACTAGTACTGCTAAAAAGTAACCCTGGCCTGTCTAGTCGCAACTTCAATTCATTACCATCAATTATAGTGAAAGCTGTACTCATTTGGTTTTCTATATTTTCTGCTTCACTATTGTATGAAAATTCTGAATATTTTTGACTAAGCTTAAGAAACCAATCATGTTTCTCTTGTAATGTGATTGGTTGGAATATATGTGGTGGCCGATCATATAGAACAGTAGCACTGAAATACAAATACTAATATTGTAAATTTATACACAAACTTATTTTATATAATAACTCTTACAATACAGAGACCCTAGATCTTCATCTGATTATGTGAATAAACTTGTTTATATGTAGATAAAATTACAATTAAAAAACATTATCGAACTGATATAAGTACTTACTTTATGTCCCAATTTTCAGATAAGTCTTGCTTCATAGCATATGTGACACATAGATTGTTATGTGCTGATTGGCCAAAGTATCGCTCTATAAATGTATATATCTTTAATAATATTTTTAGACTTGGAGATATTGACAGTGCCAATATCGTATGACCATAGTTGTGCCAGTCAATTATAAATTTTGTTCTAGTCACAAGACAGTAAAAACGACACACTGGCAATGTAGGAACTGCTGGTGGATTTTGACATAATAAGTAATCACAATGTCCTGTTGTTAAAAGTGTTAGAAACAAACTTATAGCTTGCCAGAGCACTTTCATAATAAACTGAAAGATTTTTGGACCCTTATCGAATTTACCACTGCAAAGCTTAGTAATGGTAATGTTTGGGTTTTCAAGTACTTCTGTCAGAGGCACAGTATCCATATAACTTATTACATTTACTTTAAAGCCATTATTACTTAAAGATAAAGCATGATATTGCATACGCGGACTTCTACCTATATCACCCAATACTACTACTTTAACATTTTTTTTAGTTCGCTGTTCAGACATAATGTTATACCTTTTAGATACCTTATTCTACCTTATTCCTAATACATTTCAATTCATTAGGTTTTTTTTAAATTATTATTTATTATTTAGTGCACCCCCCCCCCCCCCCCCAATTTCATGAGACTGCTAATTTTTCTTGTTTAGTTTGTGCACTACGAAAGACTAAAATAACTCCAAAATATTTTTTTGTTACAACTGTAAATGTAATGTAATTAGACCATAGATAAATAAATATGTAGCAAGATTTGTAAATGAAACGTCAATGTCATGTCAAGCCAAAGCTGTCGATTCAATGTCAATTTTTTTTATTTTGCTGGCTTTACGGCTCTGCGTTCTAGCCCTTCGGAGTCTATCATTTCTTTCGAATCATCGTTTTTATATATTTTTTCTTCACAATATGCTGATGTTATGTCATATATGGTCAAAATCTCACAATCACAAAAAAACAAAACGTCACATTGCGAAGTTTTTGGGAGATTTTGACGACATCTCAACCCAGCGGGTAGTTGATGAATATAGCCACTCAAGTTCATAAGGCGCCCAAGCGATCAAAATAACTTGAGGTTTATAATTTATATCAACATCAAAGCACTGTTTCCTCGTTTTCCATTAAATTTTTTTAACGCGCAGACAAGTGTCTGCACGTGTGAACTATTAATTAAGTAGTTCACAAAATCGCATCACATTTACGAATCAAAATCTACTTCAAACCATTATTCAAGCGACAATCCGTCGACGGCCAAGTTCCCGCCAATACTCCTCAATGTCAATTTAGGTTCGATATCATTATAATGTCATCCGCAGTTCGGTCTCGGTCTGATAAAATATTATCACTGTATTGCACGTTCCTCTACAATAAATATTAACAAAAGTTATTTCATCTTTCATTATGGTCACCAATAGGGACCTCTATGTAGTCAGCTCCTAAACTGGTGACCCCGACGTGATAAACGTGACCGACGTGATCGATGTGATGATAGCTCAGTAGTGGGCAATATTCGCGTGTGTTGTGATCGGACGGACTATGTATATAGTAACATGAGTGCGCTTTCGCTGACGCCACAGAACGTGCCGCCTGTTAATGTGCCACCTACGTGTCTCTACAGTCCAAGCTCTCAGACTTTTGGACGGACCAGCCACGCGTATGGTTCGTACGCACAGAAGCTATCCTCGCACCTCAGAGGATGAGTGATGAGGCCGAGTTTAACCTGGTCGTGTCCAAGGTAAGTAAGGAGGTCATCGCGCAAGTAACGGACGTATTACTAAATCCGCCTCCTACCTACAAGTACGACGCACTTAAAGCTCGGCTGCTCCACATCTATGAGGAGTCAATGTCGAGGCAGATCGAGAAGCATATGAGCAAGCTAAAGCTGGGCGAGCAGAAACCATGTCAGCTGCTTCGTCGGATGCGTGAGCTCGCTACTGACAAGGTTCCTGATGAAATCCTTCGCGTGCTGTAGCAGAATCGTCTTCTGACATAAGTGCGCGCCGTACTCACTATGTCTGACTCCAAGGACCTGGACTACCTAGCAGCAGTCACAGATGACTTCATGGAATCTGTGCGGCCTTCCTATGCCACCACCGCTACCTACACCGTGCCAGCGCCAGCATCTACTGCCACCCTTGACTTGGCCCTGTTGAGGGATGAGGTGGCTAAAATAGAGGCTACCGTGGACCCGATCCATCAGCAGAGGTCGCGGTCTCGCGCCTCTGATCGCAACCGGCATTGTCCGCGGTCCAGGCGCCGTACCAGTTCCCGCCGCCTCCGGAAGGAGAACTATTTGTGCTTCTACCATTACCGACTGAATGTTTGTTTTGACGTTTTTTAACGCTGTTTACGTAAATAGTTTTTTTTGTAAATACTTGTTGAAATAGTCTTTATTTAGTGTTATTATTTTACCTATTTGATAAATTGTAATGGAAAAACGTCGTTCGTACTATAATTGTTGCGTGGATGGGTGCTAAATGGCCAAAAAAAGGTTTCAGATATATCATTATTTAAAATTACCGAAGGTTTTTAAATGAAGTTATGAAAAGTTAATTTATTTCATTTTTTTTTTGTTAGATAGGTACCTATAGCAAAAAAGAATTAAGTAATAAATTATCTCCACAAGTAATACCTACGTACTTTATTACAAAACTTAGTTGAAATTTACTTCACTATCCAAGTATCGACATACTTATATTCCTATTTATGTCTTTTGTAATTAATATATTTCAAGTTATAATAACACAAAACACTGAAATTAAAACTTTGTTTTCTAACAAGATTTTTAACAGAGTAGAATACGATCACATTTCTGTTAGGAATCGTATTTCAGGATTATTTGTTGTGGCCTTACTAGTTGAAAGAAAGTAGTAGAAATTACATAGGTGCGAAAATATGGTCAGTCGATCATAGTTAGAATAGGTACTTCACCAAAGTAACTTAATTAAAATTTCGCAATATATTTTTTTTGACTCTTTATTGTAAGCCCTTAGTAACGAAAAGTCCGATGACGACGACGATGAGAAAAGATGCAAAGTAATATGGACACTCGCGCGCAGCGATACAATTTTATTTAGCTTGCGTGCGCGATTTATCTGATTAATAATAATTATGTAGGCTATAAACCGTCGACAAGCAGTCGACATTACCATTAGTTACTAGTACAGACAGTACAGTTACAGTACAGTACTATTATTTATTCTGTGCTGTTACTGTGATATCTATGACTAATTGTTTTCTAAGTGATTTTATTAATATTTTAAACTGCTAGGGGTTGAGTTAAATTAAAGATTGTACAAAAAACTAAAGTAAATTTATTAAACTATTTACACAATGCGGCAGTCTTACAAACTATCACTAATCTAATGTCTAATGGGACCTAATAGGGAGCGTGAGGGGTCTTCCTGCTTGTTGTTCTTCTCTTGAGCGCTGTCCTGCCGTATTATAAATAATACTTATTGAAAGTCTCTTTTTTTCATTTACCACTGGTTCGCAAAAAATAAACTTCTGTTCTGAGAAGAACCAGAAAGAAACCCAGCGGGAGTATTTTTGTTAAATAATGGCTTACGATCATGTATATCACAATTTACGACATAGAACAAATCAGAAATAGCTTGGTAGCGATCACCCTTCTCAGGGATTATTATCATCCATAAATTCCTTAATATTATAATAACCATTTTTATACAAACTTAATTTAATAAAGTTTTTGAACTTTGTGTATGTCAAATTCTGTATATTTTCTGGGAGTTTGTTGTAAAAGCGTATACATCGTCCTAAGAATGAATTACTGACTCGGAGGAGTCGAGTATTGTCCTTTAAACAAAACAAACTTCGTATGAAGGTTCCCAATTTTTTTTGCTCGGGTTCAAATGCTTTTGTGTGCATGGAAACTGCCTTAATAAGTAAAAGTTTGTGGTTTCCAATAAAAGGTTGACTTTCAAAATGGTTCGTCGTAAATACATCCCGGCATCGTTTGAAAATTGTTAAAATAAGTTTCGGTAATAGATTTTTTTTCTGCAAAGAATGATACTTCCTTATGTGAATGTATCTTAAATATTTTTTTTGCCAACGTACATACTTTAATAACATCGCGTGAAGGATAAATAAGGCCGCCTTTATCGTTTTAAATATAAGACCTATATATTTGTCGCTAATAAGAGCTCGCAGACAATCTTCACATTTTATAGTTTTTCTTAATTTCCTAACCACAAACCCACCGATATATGAAATAATTTCTTCAGTATAGGTGGTCAGTTTTGAGGGGTTAATAGTGAAATTTATAGAGAAAGTGTAAATTAAACTATTGTATTAGTTATGATATGTATAATTTCAAATGGAAAACATTTTTTTAACTTTCTATGTTAAATATTTAAGAAATTCCAACTTTGAAAATGTGAGTAAAATAAGCATATTTTGTTCAATAAATAAAGGGTTTTTTGTGATATGAAAATGTAATGTATATCGTAGTATAGATATTTTTTTGTGCTATCTTTATAAGTAAATTGTACAAATGTATGTCTTATACAAATAAAGTTATTGAGCAAACCGTGAGAGAGTGATAGTACAAATTGATGTAATTGAATTGCGCAAGCGCACACTTGGCGCGGCTCACTTTCGCGTTTAGCTTCGAGGTAGTTCAGTAAAATGATTTTTCTTGCAAATCGTTGGGACTGCCCCATAGTTATGGGGTATGAGGATATCCGGGTAATGGGGTATACCCCGAGGCCCGATACCTGCTCGTACTTAGGTACGTACAGAAGACATCAACGTTGCAAATCGTTCGGGAAAAGTGCAAGACCAGCAGTCAATAAGAAGAAGAAAGAAGAAGTATAGGGAAGTGATAGGGAAAAGTAATTACTCTCTCACGGAACGGTTTGAAGATAATTGCTGTTTTATTCCCAAGGAATTCTCCCCTTAAAGTGATATAGTCCATATCGAAGAATTAAGGCGTTGGGACCGGGACGACTTCGGAAGACCCGTAATCCCCGCC